GGTCCAAATAGAGCCACTTGCAGCGCCACCTCGGGGCAACTTGAGGGTTGGTTTTAGTTGTACGTAGTGTTCATCTGAGTGTGCCCTAAGAAAGAGATATGTGCAGCTCCTATCGGGATTTGTTGGCACATTCGGGCGGTGTTGCTGGATTTGTTTTAACCTGTCGAAGTGTCTTGAGTAACCGAGATACCGAGTCTGATCGGAACGTCTTGGGAGGAGGTCTATTCCTTCGTTGACCTTGAGAGCTTGTCATGGGCTAAGTTGGGACTCCCCTGCAGGGATTTGAACTTTCGAAAGCCGTGCCCGTGGTTATGGGCAGATGGGAATTTGTTAATGTCCGGTTGTAGATAACTTGAACCTTAATTAAATTAAATTGAATCAACTGAGTGTGTTACCATGATGGCCTCTTCTCGGCAGAGTCGGGAAGTGGACACGGTGTTGGAGTAATGTTTGCGTAGGTTGCTCTCTAGTTTCATGCTCGCGCTTTGCCTCCTCTTCTCGCTCTCTTTTGCGAATAAGTTAGCCACCATACTTGCTAGTCGCTTGCTGCAGCTCCACTCATATTTTGCCTTACCTATAAGCTTAAATAGTCTTGATCGCGAGGGTGCGAGATTGCTGAGTCCCTGTGGCTCACAGATTACTATTACACCAGATGCAGGGCCTGATGATTCCGCTCCAGGAAACGCGTATGAGCTCAAGTGGGAGTTCGACGAAGACTCTCAACGTTACTATGTTTCCTTTCCCGATGATCAGTAGTGGTGCCCAGTTGGGGGTGAACGGGACCGTTGTCGCATGTTGGGTTCTCTTTTATTTTGGCGCCGTAGTCGGGCCATGAGTGTTTGGATGATGTAATGTTATTTATGTACTTGATTGACATGGCGAGTGTAAGCCAACTATTGCTATCTCCCCTTTATTATTTATATTACATGGGATGTTATGAAGATTGCCTAACTTGCGACATATGCCTTCAATGCGATTATGTCTCTAAGTCGTGCCTTGACACGTGGGAGCTATAGTCGCATCGAGGGTGTTACAAATACAAAGGGAAGAACAGCCTCCTCAGGTTGAGGTGTTCTTGTGCTTGGTGTACTTGTGTGGCTGAGGATGATCTTCGTTTTTCTCCCTCCTATGATGGTGGCTAGTCCTATTTATAGAGGCCCTAGTCCTCTCCCCAAATATTGAGCGGGAAGGGAGCCAACAACGGTGAATTTGAAAGGGGACATCTAGTACAAGCTATCCTGACAAAAGGTGGTCTTCGCCTGCCAAAGGTTTTGGCGGTGACGCCGTCCTGGGCTCCATGGCGACCTCCGTCTTGTCGTCCTTTTGGTCTTGGTCTCGTTGCACCAATATGGAAACCTTTGCTTGATGCCTCGGTACTCCGAGCCTGCGCTTGGCCCCTTAGCACCAAAGAGGAAACAAGGACGATGCGCGCACTAGCGCCCGCCTGGCGCCCGCCTGGTCTCGATCGTCATGGCTTACATCACGAGAACCGCGCGAGGTTTGCCCGACCATGAACTCTCCGCCCCTCACGAGCCGTCCTGAGGAGGTTGCTCCTAAGGAGGTCTTGTGTCGTCCGCCTCGCGAGGCTTGGCCCCTCGCAAGGGTCTTGATTCCTTGTTGATGAAGATGGGTCGTACAGGCCTGCCAGCAAAGCCACGTCGTGGGCCGCAGGCAGGCAAGTCTGGGGACCCCCGTTCCTAGGATGCCGACAATCACCTAGTGACCAACTCCTTAGTCATTTGCTTGCAAGCTTATGATGTGTATTACCAAGAGGGCCCAGAGATACCTCTCCGATACTCGGAGTGACAAATCCTAATCACGATCTATGCCAACCCAACAAACACCTTTGGAGATACCTGTAGAGCATCTTTATGATCACCCAGTTATGTTGTGACGTTTGATAGCACACAAGGCATTTCTCCGGTATCCGGGAGTTGCATAATCTCATAGTCTAAGGAATATGTATTTGACATGAAGAAAGCAATAGCAATAAACTGAACGATCAATATGCTAAGCTAACGGATGGGTCTTGTCCATCACATCATTCTCCTAATGATGTGATCCCGTTGTCAAATGACAACACATGTCTATGGTTAGGAAACCTTAACCATCTTTGATCAACGAGCTACTCTAGTAGAGGCTTACTAGGGACACGGTATTTGTTTATGTATTCACACATGTATTTAGGTTTCTGATCAATACAATTCTAGTATGAATAATAAACCTTTATCATGAATAAGGAAAATAAAATAACAACTTTATTATTGCCTCTAGGGCATATTTCCTTCAGTTTCCTCTTTGGTGCTAAGGAGGCAAGGACGTACGTGGGTTCCCAAGGAATCCCCCAAAGGTTTTCCATTCTGGTGCAACAAGACCAAGACCGCTGGCTCGACAGGATGGGGGTCATCGCCGAGCCCGCCACTGCATCACGACCAGAAGCTTTGCAGACGAAGACCACCTTTAGTCGGGATAGGGTGTACTCCTGTCCCGTTTCAAATTCGCCGTTGTGGAATCCCTTTCCGCCTAAGCTATGAGGGAAGAGGACCAAGGCCACTATAAATATAGGTTAGACTCCACCGTAGAGAATAATAGATCCTTTGGCCATTGAGCTCTCCCGAGGCAGCTCACACCTGTACTAGTTCGTACTCATCCTCCTTGTGAAGCAACCCACCACAAAGCAGGAGTGGGGTTTTACACCGCAAGGTGGCCCGAACCTGGGTAAACCGTTGTGTCCACCTCTTCTTCCTGCTCGCTCGAATCCGACGAGGCCAAGCCGTGAGGCAGTGAGCACGGAGCTGCAGCTAGGCTAGATCCTTCGCACACGTCCCAGAGTTCGAACCTTGTTTGGGTCCGTGGAGCCCCGATTCCGATAGTGTTGAATTTCGTAGGCAGGATGCACTACAATCTTATCAAGCGTTGTTAAGGTAGCCATATTGCTGAGAAGCCTACTGAGTTGAGTTGAGGGGGCACTAGAACCCGGAAAAGCTCATACTCATTCTGAGTTTTCTTTTCTTAAACCTGTAACTGGGATCTTGTATTGCAAATAAAATTCATCGCATTGTGTAGAATATCCATATTGAATGGAGCAGATAATTCATTAGGTCGAGCTATAACTCACCCTTTTTGTCAAAAAGAAAGGTAATGTTTTGTAGAATAAAAGGTCCCTCTGATTTTGAACTAAAACCACGACACTTATTATGGATTGGAGGGAGTACTATTCTGTGAACGAAAATGTTTTTTAAGAAAAAGAAAAGTCAGCACCATTTTCCAGGGTTAACCATTTTCTAAAACAAAACAAAAATTTGAGATTCAATTTTTTTATACTATCTTCAGAATCACTTTTTTTTCCAGGGCATCTTTTATTTATGAGAAATCATCTTGAAAGTCAACTTTTTTTTAGCAAGACAAGATCTTGAAATTCAACTAGCACAAATAAGTTCGAAGGGCATCATGGTCATCAATAGTACGAGTGGCCCAGCAATAGCCCATTAAGGCCTTAAACCCTAATGCGAAACCTTTCACTGGCTCTCTCCCTCAACTCCCGTGTTCCGCGTCTCCACCCCACAAGAGAACCACCAGAGCACCTCGCCGCCGCCGCCGCCGCCGCTGCCGAGGTCGACGACGACGATGTGGCGTTCGCGAGCTCGCGCTCTCCTCCTGCTCCGCTCGTCCGTCCCCAGATCGCCACCGCCGCAGCAAAATCCACTTCGGAGCCTGGCCCGAGGCCCACCCCCGCCACCACGCCTTCTCTCCCGCTTCCTCTCCTCCTCCTCCCCGGAGGCCCTGCCGGACGCCCCCTCCTCCGCTGCGGAGGCCCTCCCGGATGACCCCTTCGCCTTCCCGCCCGGCGCCATATCCGGATCGGCTGATCCCACCGAGGCCGACGAGGACAACCTTGCCGCGCTCTGGGAGGAGGATGCGGGCGACGCCGACGACATCTTCGTCTCCGCCGCCTCCTCCGACACCGCCGATCCCGAAGCCAGGGACGAGGAGGTCGCCCGCGTCCGCGCCGTCGTGGAGTCCACCCCGGAGGACCAGATCCCCACCGCTATCGCCGACATGGTCGTTGACTTCACCGAGCCGCTCCTAGCCGCCATCCTCCTCTCCGCCGAGAACTGCTCTGGTAAAAAGCTGCTCCTCTTGTTCAAGTCTGCCGGGAAGAACAACCCTGATGTCAAGAGCCTTGCCAATCTTGACATCGTCGCGAGCAAGGTTGCTGATTCAGCTCAGATTGACAAGATGGACGCGTACATGCTCTGGGATTTGGTGAAGGAAATGGGCAGTGTGCCAGGATCATTGAGCATCCCACTGCTGAACAAAGTGCTAGCAATGTTCTGGAAGCTCGAGAAATCAAAGGCGGCGCTAGAGGTGCTTGACAAGTTCAGTGAGTTTGGCTGCACTCCGGACGGCGACAGTTATTATCTGGCGATTCAAGCGGCTGGAAAGAAGTCCATGGTTGGTGCTGCATGGGGAGTTTGCGAGAAGATGATTAGCTCTGGGCGCTTCCCTGATGGGGAGAAGGCCGGTGAGATTGTGACCTTCTTTTGCAAGGGGAAGAAGGTGAAGGAGGCACATTCAGTATACCTAGCAGCGAAGGAGAAGAAGGTTCAGATTCCTACGTCATCCTTGGATTTCCTTGTTGGTGCTTTGGCGAAGAATGACGAGACCGTCAGTATGGCTCTGGAGCTGCTGGAGGAATACAAAGGAGAGTCTCTTAAGCATGCAGGCAAGTCCTTTGCTGCCGTTATACATAGTTTGTGCAGGGTGAAGAATGTGAAGGATGCAAAGAAGCTGTTGATGAGGATGGTGAATCTTGGCCCAGCTCCTGGTAGTGCAGTGTTCAACTTTGTCATTACAGGATTGTCTAAAGAGGGAGAAATGGAGGACGCAAAGGATATGATTAGGGTGATGGAGAGCCGAGGGCTGCGCCCTGATGTTTATACATACAGCGTGATCATGAGTGGCTACGCAAAGGGAGGCATGATTGATGAAGCCCATTCTCTACTTCGCGAAGCTAAGAAGATCTATCGAAAACTAAACAGGGTTACTTATCACATACTGATCCGTGGTTACTGCAAGATGGAGGAGTTTGAGAAGGCCCTGGAGTGCCTAAAGGAGATGAAGAAGGACGGGGTGCAGCCAAATGTGGATGAGTATAACAAACTCATCCAGTCGTTATGTCTGAAGGCTATGGACTGGAGAACAGCTGAGAAGCTCCTGGAGGAAATGGAGGGCAGTGGACTATACCTTAAGGGCATTACCCGCAGCCTCATAGCAGCAGTCAAGGAATTGGAAATGGAAGAGGTGTCAAAAGACAGCCAAGAAGCATAGTTTCTCTAGGGTACGCTTGAAGTGACACATCCGCTAATCAGTTTTGGAGAATTTGCCCTCTTTTTGCTCTCTGCATCTCTGGTGAGGTTATGAAAACACCATCTTTTGTACTTGTCTGCTTGTTGTTAGATGCTAAAATAATATTGCATTTGTATTATAAATGCTGGACCGGCAGGGATGCATATTTAATTTTGGTCTAGAGTTTCTGCTTCTGCAGAAGTAGAACCAAGAGAATTTTCACGCAAATTTTGATCCAATCTTAAGACTTGCCAAAGGAGGATACATGTTTGCCTATTCCCAAAGCAAGAGTCCTTGCAAACCAAAAAATGGATTTCTTTTTTTGGGATGTGCCTAAAAAAATCAAAAGGGAAGTAGTAAAAGGAAAAACATGTTGATGCAGCAGCAGGTACCTGTCGGTGCTTTGGTGCGTGATGTACAAGGACATGCCTATATGCTGTTATCGTGTAAAACATCGGAATGAAAATGCTACTCCCTCCGTTCGGAATTACTTGTCGCAGAAATGGATGTATCTAGATGTATTTTAGTTCTAGATACATTCATATCCGAGACAAGTAATTCCGAACGGAGGGAGTATATTTTTAGTATGCAATTCATAGATTTGTTGGCACTGGAAAGTGGTAACTGACTCAGCGAAGACACTTTCATTGATATGATATTTAAGGACATGTATTGCCAATTAGTCTGCTGCTATATCTAATGGAGTAATTTTCTGGGAATGCACTTAATGGTTTATTACTAATGTGTATTCACTGATAACACTCTCCTGCGCAGTAATCTGCTGGGTCTTTTGTGCCCTATTCGGAGCATGATTTGATGGAGTTTAGTGTCTGGCTATTCAGCTTTTCATTTGGTTTTGATTTTGTATCTGCGACCCGTTGAAAACACACAACAGTGCCTGCCCAGTTTCGTGTAATCACCGCACTAGCTTCGGCTACTGCGATCACCACACACTTTTTTTGCACATAGAGCAAGCTTAATTCCCAGCGGCTAGTGGTAGGTGGTACATGAAATCTCAGCTGAATGGAATTTTGAATAGTCATCTGGTGGGTCGGGCCTAATCAGGAGTAGATGCTTTGCAGTTGAAAACAAGGCAGTTTCTGAAAGTTTTTTGTGTGTGCAGTTGCTCCTATGCTAGACCTGTGAATGGCAATAGCAAATAGAGATTGGTGATTGTGTCAAGATTTTGATTCTGCGTCGTGCACGTGGCTGGTATGTGGATAAATAGGTCCTTCGATTTACTTGTCTGCTCCGCTGGGTTAAAATATTGCTGCTGTGTTGTGGTGATAAGTGTGATTCCTGGCCCTGACGCTGCTATTAGTTGTACTGTCAACTGATGGTGGACGCAACCACACATCACAAGCTGCGCAAGCATGGGTGCTACGTAGTACTGTACATGTTATGGCGATGATGATATGTTCGATCACACTAGTAATTGATCAATTACTAATGTGTATTCACAGATATCACTCTCCAGTGGGTCTTTTGTGCACTATTCGGAGCATAATTTGGTTGCACGACTAGAAAATATGGTCTATTTGATGAGTTTATAGTTTGGTGCCTGACGATTCAGCTTTTCATTTGGTTTCAATTTTATATATCTGCGATTCTGCTGAAATCAACGGTGCCTGCCCAGTTTTTTGTGTGGTCGCCGCATTGGCTTAGGTTACTGCGATCATCGCACACTTTTTTTCTGCACATAGAGCAAGCTGAATTCCCAGCAGCTAGCGGTAAGTGGTGCTTGAAATCTCAGCCAAATACTCCCTCTGTAAAGAAATACTCCCTCTGTCCCATAATATAAGAACGTTTTTGGCACTAGTTTAGATCACTAGTTAGAATATTTTTTCCCAAGAAAAAAGAGAGATATGAAAGTGTTACATGTCTTGTCAGTGCTGTTGTGCCTGACAGAGATGGCTAATGAGAAAAGCCGGGAGAGGTAAAAAAAAAAGGTGCTGGGTGCAGGCAGAGGCAGCAGCTGCTTCCATCTCAAACCACAATAGAGCAATAGCATATTAGCAATAGGCTTTGTGATTGCGTCGGGATTCTGATTGATTCTGCATTGTGTTGAGATACTACTGCTGTTGGGGTTGAGATACTAGTGCTCTTGTGTCGTGGTCAGCTGTCAGCAGTCACCCATTTTTCTTCTTTGTGCACTGGCAGCAGTATAATTCCTGGTTGGAATATGTCGGTTGCGCTGTCAAGTGATGCCTGATGGTGAACGCGATCACACCTGGCAAGCTTGGGCAGAGCCACGTGCCATATGTTCTAGGCTTCCAGCGCGATGACGTGATCCTACCTGTGGATGTGCATCACGAGCGAACCGGTGTCAGGCTGTGCACGTACCGCGTACCTGGTCTCGGTCGTCGTTTCCAGCTAAGCTGCTCCCTCCGTCCGGATATACAGGGTCTAATACATATTTCAAGATTGCTTTAGCCATGAATGAAGTCAATAATACACAAGACTTGTGTTAAGACAAACTTTGCAAAATTTTACTAAATTTATATTAAAAATGTCAGCATCTACAATACCAAATATATATACTATGAAACTACATTTCACAATGAACCTAACAAAATTGATTTGTGATTGTGAATGTTGATACTTTTTATATAGATTTAGTTAAAATAGAGATGCTTTGACTTCAAACAATACTTATATGCAGACTAAAAAGAACCAGAGAGTATTATTTATAGCCATATATATTCGGATAGAGGGAGTAGTTTATACCTGAGCTATGATTTAGCACATAAGTAAACAGTGGCAATCGCACACACAAAAAAAAGGACAGAGAGAAACAGTGGCCGTCCATGGTGACAATCAGAATCTGATCCGAGCCTTATCATATATATTTGCATTCTCCATGCGCTTGGGAAGATAAGCTTTCCTAGACTACTGGCATTGTTTAGGGTTTGAGCAACTGAAGCTCTGCCGGCCACTCGCATCTTCCATCGGGATGCGGCCAGGGCCAGACAAACGGACGGCGGCAGATTGTCCTCTGCATGTTTTTATATTTGATTGATTTGATTCCAGTGCTGTTCGAATTTCGAAATGGTTGGTCCGGCGCAGGCTGCAAATCAGGCGTGGTGCTTTTTACCGAGTTTCAGAGGGAACGAGTGCACACAAGAGCGTCTCCGCTTATCCTATAGCTTTCACCAACTAAAAGAAGAAATAAACGCTTTAATCGATGCAACGAAAACAAAAGCAAAAGGCTCTATTTGTTTCCTTAGAGCATCTCTAGTAGCTTCCCAAAAAATCTTCCCCTGAGTGTTTAACAACGCCCCTGTAACGCTATCCCCGTAATCTGTTTTATTTTTCTCGTTTCTCTCTACACTAGTGTGTACGTATATAAGCAATCCCCCTTAGCATCAAAATAACTTAGATATTTTTGTCTCAAACACACACCATTCATCATAACTTGAAATCCACAACTTATGAGTTAAAAAAAAAGAATTCATATTCAAACATAGTAAATGGTGCATATGCATTGAAAGTAAACATGAAGAAGTTTAACGCCCATGTAACTCCCACAAGTGCTCAATAAGGTCATCATGAAGTTGTTCATGCCCTGCATTGCATTGTCTTCAATTTGTTGACGCACTTAAATAAATCTCCTGAGTCGATCTTCATCCCTTATAGGGTTCACACGAGCCGTGTAAATTTTCTTCCCCTCATTCTCATATCCAAGATCCTCCGGCTAACCTCACTCATCTTCTATTATCTTGTTGTGCATAATCACACACGTCGTCATGATGCGCCAAAAATGCTCATAGATATCACTCTCCAAATATTTCAATGAAACCTGACAACCTTCGCATTTTTTTAAAAACTTTTGATCACTATGCTCCGATCCAACCATCAATAGTATTGGCGGGACAACCATATGCAAGCTTTTGTGCACAGACGATGCAACCTGCTTCAAAGAACTATCACCAAGTTGATGCAACCTGCTTCAAAGAACTATCACCAAGTTGACCTGGTGCATTCCTTTTCTGCATCTCCAATGAGCTTGAATGGATCCCGCAACATTTGAAACCTTCTCCAAAAAGTTTTAGGGTCAAATATTGGATTCTCTTCAAAATAATCCTCAATAAATCTATCATGCCCGACTTGCTTGTTACGACGAACCACCACACGCCCACCGACCCACCATGCCCGACTTGCTTGTCACAAACACGTGCATGAATGAAAATGCTAAAAAGGACCACCGGTGAAAACTATTACAAACCTGCCGCGGCGGCAAGCTAGGCAAGCGACACGTGGC